TTTAAGTGAAAAGATGAAAGTTCTCGACTTATTAAGGAAAGAAAAATAGTTCTACGCCAAGCTGTATGGTAACAATAAATCTTCCGTCCTTTAAATTATGAAGAAGTAAAAAGAAATTTGTGCTAGTTTTGCTATCATACCTCAAACTGCAAAAGTTACAGCTAGAGTGTGTGATGAGTGCTTAGTTAAGATGCAAAAGGCATTAAATTTGCACAATAAGGTATTTTGAAATTGAGAAAGAAACTACATTCACACAATGTATATTATGTGTATATTGCTATAGTTCTATTTTATTACTAGTTATTGTTGTTAATCTCTTGCTGTGCCTAATTTAGAAATTAAACGTTATGTTTTATTTACAGGAGAAAAACATAGTATATTATAAGGTTCAGCACTATCTGTGAATTCAGGCCTCCATTGGGAGTCTTGGAATATATTCCCCACCCATAACGGGGGTCTACTGTGTAAGGCTTTGTTTTCCATTGAAGTCTAAATACTCTAAGGACGAAAAAGCGAGTACTTCATTTAACCCTTATTATAATTTGGTTATATTATAAAATGATTTCATTGGTTTCTTTTGGAGACCAGGTTTTTAAAAGCCAAGGGAAGGCACTATCCAGAGGGAACGTGATACAGAAGAATGCTAGGGTCTGCAGGAAAAGCCATACGTACTTCACAATTTGTCCTGCGGTGCCATCTGTGCAAAATTTTGAAAACACTTTGTTACAAGGATGAATCTATTTAGTGATACACAAATAAGAATTTTAGAGCACAGAAACAGGAAATTCCTGCATGAAGGGAGGATTACTGCCTGGGCTGTGTTTCTTCATACTTGATCTTAGCCAAAAGGCCAAAAAGCTATGTTTCTTCATAAATAAATAATTACCAGGAAAGTTTGGCCCCAAACCCCACTACTAAGCAAGTTAATTAAAGTATTACAGAAACTATCTTTTTATTTTTTCCATTATGAAGCAATTCAGACTTCAGTGGTGAGATTTGATTCTTACTGCTTTGATTTATATGTTTGTTTATAATGCTGTGTACTTTTGGTTAGACTTTTGCTTTGTCTGTCTTCTCTAGGATTAAGAGATCTTTGTCTCCTTCGCTGACTGAAGTTATGCAAGTACCTAACAAGTGCCTGATGTGCAGTATAGGATGAATGAACATTTCATGAACAATTTAAATGAATGACTGTTTTCATGGATACCTTTTTAAAAAAGCAATTGATATTAAAGATTTACTGAAAAGCAATTTGGCAACTTGCATTAAGCATCTTAAAATAGGCTCAGCTCTTGATCCAATAAGACCTAAAGGCCGAAGGAGAATTTATATACAAAGCTATTCAAAGAAGTTTACTGATAATGGGAAAATGCAATAACCTAGATATTGTTTAAATAGAGAAATGATTAAATTATATTACATCCATAAACTGAAGTGCACCCAGTAAATAGGTTTTTAAACTCAACAAGGTAGATTAAGTAAGAAAATCAGGATATAAAACAGTACTTATACCACAGCCAACCATTTAAAAAATATGTGTACAGGAAAAAACTAGTATTTAATCCATTAAAATGTAAACAATACTTATTTCTAGGTTGCATATTACAATAGATTTGCATTGCTTCTACAAATAGAAAAAAAGAGATAATTTTTCAAATTGATTTTATGCTAGCACTTTCCCTAACACATTTTTCCTGTATCTTGTTTAATGTGTCTTAGAAAGCAATTTGTACCAAGAGAATAGTTTACGGTTCCTCTTAGCTATCATGTTAGTCCTGGATAGATGCAAGTTTTCAGAGATATTTAATTTCAGCTGGCATTTTTGCCTCTTGAGTGATTATTTAGGAAACAAAGACTTTAAGTTTAGAATTGTAGGGTAGCTGTGACGTCCCCATTCCTTCTGTGTGTAGTTTCCAGCCTTTACTTTTAAAGGAGAACATCTGTGGTTTGTGGTCCTATACAGTTGTTCACTGGTATCCATGGAGGATTAGTTCCAGGACCCACTTTGGATACCAAACTCGGAGGAAGCTTGAGTCCCTTAACTAAAATGGAGTTTGTATTTGCCCTTAACCCATGCACATCCTTCCATATACTTTAAATCATCTCTGCTGCTGCTAAGTCGCTTCAGTCGTGTCCGACTCTGTGCGACCCCATAGACGGCAGCCCACCAGGTCCCCCCGTCCCTGGGATTCTCCAGGCAAGAACACTGGAGTGGGTTACCATTTCCTTCTCCAATTCTTGAAAGTGAAAAGTGAAAGTGAAGTCGCTCAGTCGTATCCGACTCTTCCCGACCCCATGGACTGCAGCCCACCAGGCTCCTCCATCCATGGGATTTTCCAGGCAAGAGTACTGGAGTGTGGTGCCATTGCCTTCTCCTTAAATCATCTCTAGAGTACTTAAAATACTCAGTACAGTAAATGCTATGTAAATAGTTGTAAATACAGTGTAAATGCTATGGAAGTAGTTGCTGCTGTTGTTGTTTAGTCGTTGGGACCTCATGGCACCCGGGCTTCCCTGTTCTTCACTATCTCCCAGAGTTTACTCAAACTCATGTCCATCGAGTCGGTGATGCCATCCAATCATGTCATCTTCTTCGTCCCCTTCTCCTCCTGCCTTCAATCTTTGCCAGCATCAGAGTCTTTTCTAAGGAGTCAGCTCTTCGCATCAGATGATCAAAATATTGGAGTTTCAGCATCAGTCCTTCCAATGAATATTCAGGATTGATTGCCTTTAGGATATCAATGACTGTTTTGATCTCCTTGCAGTCCAAGGGACTCTCAAGAGTCTTCTCCAGCGCCACAGTTCAAAAGCATCAATTTTTCAGCATTCAATCTTCTTTATGGCCCATGTCTCACATCTATACGTGACTGCTGGAAAAACCATAGCTTTGACTATTCGGATCTTTGTTGGCAGTCTCTACTTTTTAATATGCTGTCTAGGTTTTTCATTTCTTCCTTCCAAGGAAGTAGTTGCTGGTGTAAGGCAAATTGGTTTTGCTTTTCAAATTTTCTGGAATTTTTTTTTTCCAAATATTTTCTACCCTTCATTGGTTAAATCCGTGAATGTGGAACCCATGAATGTGAAGAGCTGACTGTAGGATATTTCTGTAAGCTGTTCCACTTCGAGGTACAATGGACCCTTAACACAAGGGTTGGGGTGCTGACTCTGCACATGGCCAGAACTCCTTGTATAATTTATAGTTGACCCTCTGTATTTTTTATTCCACTGTATCCTGTTCTGCACTGTGAGTTCAATCCACCACAGATTGTGTAGTGCTGTATTATTTATTGAAAAATATCTATGTATAAGTGAATCCACACAGTTCAAACCCATGATGTTAAAGGGTCAATTGTAATTGGTTAAAGAAATAAATCAATGAGATTGCTGAGGACTGGTAGTAAGAAAACTTGTGTTCTGCTTTAACTGCTCTTTACTCACTAGCAAGGAGACAAGTCATGCTTCAGTTTCCTCATTTGTAAAATGATGCAAATTATAATATCAAATTTGTCTGATGTAAAGGTCAAACACACTTATGTATACTATAATAAATGGTAAGAAAATGTTAATTATCAATTTGAATAATCTTGCTAAGCAATTCTAGATTTCATTAAAATAATTGGATTATCTGCTAAATTCTGACTATTCTAAAATGGCATCAAAGTCCTAAAAATTTTAACAATATCAATTTAAGTTGGAATACCTTAAATTAAAAACTTACTTAAGAAAAAAAAGAGAACTGATAACCCATATTGCAAATGATTCCCTTAATAATGTGTTTCTAAGATTTTGACATAGAGGGCACCAAAAGAACTTTTTAACCTTATCTTTGGCTCTATGGCTCCCTCTACTTACTTGGTGGCCATTAATATTTACAATGTATGTCAAAGTGCTTTGAAAACATAAAATAATTCCAAAATGTTATATTATGTAAGAATGACATTAACAATGCTGTGATTACAATTAAGTCCTTCAGTTCTGAAAAGAACATTTTAAATCTAGTGTGTAAGCTACCCACAGTACAGAGACATCTCAGGGTAAGGATGGGACCAGCATGGAGTATTATGACAATTACAATAGGTTCATTTTATTATTTACTTGCAATTAAAAATAAAATCTTAGCCAAATAGACTTTATTTCTTAATTTAATTTTTTTTTTTTTTGGTTGTTCTTGCAGCTTGTGGGATCTCAGTTTCCCAACCAGGTGAATTTATTGGCAATGAAAGAGCAGAGTCCTAGCCACCAGACTGGCAGGGAATTCCCTGGCTAAGCTTTTACAGAATAACATTTAAATGACTAGAAAATTAACCGAATAATATTAAGAGCAGGAAAATATCTAAAAATAAACAATAGCTCAGCTAGGTTATACTGAGAAGAGAATTAAAAAATCCCATGTTGAAGTGTTTTAACTTTTTATGTTTGCTTTGCATTTAGTAAGTAATCAATCTTTATTGAATAATTTCGTGTCTCCCTTAGGAGAATATATTTTATCAGAGTGGCCTAAATAGTGTACTGTAACTCTTAGTAAACTCTTTTTTAAAACAAGGACTAGGGGGATTATATGCTTGACAATCACCTGGGATATTTGTGACAAATGCTGACTCTTGACCCCATCCCCTCTACCTCAGATCATGGATTCAGACACTCTGGGAGCAACCATAGTGAACATGCATACTAAACAAGCACCCCCAGCTGGTTGTTATATCTTGAACTATTTGAGAACCATTACATAAATTGTAGTCAGCCTTAACAAAATCAAAGTAAAATAACAATTTAAATGTTATCACCTGCCCTAGTTGGTATGATGAACAGGGAAGCCTGGCGTGCTGCAGTCCATGGGGATGCAAAGAGTTGGACACGACTGAGTGACTGAACTTAACTGACCCACCCTAGAACAGTTTTGTTGATTTTGATAGAAATCAGGGAGAAAAAAAAGATATGCTTAGAAGAGAGACAAAAGTCAAAAGAAAAGCCAAAGAGATTAAATATAGAAATACACTCACCTATTTCAGGAGTTTTATGGAAAAAGGGTGAACTCCAGGGCTGCCAGTACCTTTTACCCGTTTCTTGACATCTCACTTGAAATACATACATAGCATTTGGCTGCAAGTAGAATTCTGACTGTTGCTCGTATGTAAAATTGGTGTCAAATTCTTTAACCTAAAATGGATGAATAACCATAGTGAAATACCATAAAGAAATAATGCAGTAGGCTTTTAAAACAAACCATTATTAGCAGAAACATATTGTGGGGCACATATTATGTTCCAGACCCTTCTCAACCCTGGGAAAACAGAAATAGAATACTTTGTATAAAAGATAGTCAGAAATAATCAAATACATGTTATTTAACCTTAAAAGTCAAATATGCATTGCTTAGTGTTTGACAACTCTCTCAAGCTTTTAAATCTCAAGAAATTTCAATGTGTAATATACTCTTAATTTTGACCCAACTGATTTTAATAGGATAGGAGGAGGGGAGACCTGATAGCTACTGTTTGAATTCAGTCCTTCTTCCCTCCCCCATCTGTCTGTCCATCCCTGTCTCTATGCAGTTGGGTATTTAGATCAATAATTCTTTCTGAATGATGAAATAATTTCACTTGCTAATGATGACTTTTAGAAAAAATTACCTACAAACTAAGCTGTTAAATTGGTGCTTATGCAGATCTATCCATTCTATAAGGATATATAGGAAAACAAAACAAAACATTTAAGATTGTTGAACTGTGAAAATCCAGTATAAGATATAAGCAAAAAAAATCCAATATAAGATAAGCAAAAGAAAATAGCTGAGGGATTAACTTAAAAGTCATGTTTCTGGGGCACTACAACCTGCTATAAAATATAATTAAAAAGGATCCCCAGACAAGCTGGTTCAGAAGGGAGAGAGAAACCAAGGCACTTACACAGCACATTAGCATGTTGTAATAAGTGGATCTACTGATAAAAAAATGAGGCACAATTGAAAGGTAAACATTAAAAAATTCTAGGAAAGCATTTATTTATTAACAGCAACTGGAAGAAAACAATGGCCATGAAAGAGAAAGTTAAAACTATCACAAAAATCACAAAAGTTTTTTTTGTGCTTGTGAAAGTTAAAACACAAACACACACATGCTGCTGCAGCTGCTAAGTCACTTCAGTCGTGTCCAACTCTGTGCGACCTCATAGACGGCAGCCTACCAGGCTCCCTCGTCCCTGGGATTCTCCAGGCAAGGATACTGGAGTGGGTTGCCATTTCCTTCTCCAGTGCATGAAAGTGAAAAGTGAAAGCGAGGCCGCTCAGTCGTGTCCTACTTTAAGCAACCCCATGGACTGCAGCCTACCAGGCTCCTCTGTCTTTGGGATTTTCCAGGCAAGAGTACTGGAGTGGGGTGTCATTGCCTTCTCCTAAACACACACATACACACACCAAAACAGGGTATTCACATCATTTAGAGATTCTTCTGTTAAAACCCAATCTTAATATGTCTTAAAACTTGTACTACACTTAAATTGTAAAAGTTATATAAAGGTCTGTTTTGGGATATCATGTTCCCTGAAAGATATCATTCAGAGTTTCCATAAGCCATATTTTTATCCATGGCTCTTGAAATTTTCTGCTCGTTTAAATTTGAGTGGAGGCTCCTGGAGTCTCCTGAGATACGGGAGAGATTTTACTAGTGCCAAAACTTTAGCTTCCATATGCACTATTCTCCCGTATGTCTCTTGCCATTATGTTTATAGATAAGTCCTCTAAGAAGAGAAATACCCTAAAGTTACAGCCAGAATTCTAAAATAGAAAGAATTTTATGGAACTGTTAAAAGTTGTTTCTACTAAGAAGCAAACCAGGTGACTCTTTAGGGCCTTGCAAGCTCAATATGGCCCTTCAAAATAATACTTTCAGAGGCTAAAATAGGCATTGAGAGAGTTGGACCTAATTGTGTTCCTATGGAGAGGGTATGATCTCAAGTGCCAGAAATATAACTTCATTTTTATAGCAGCGAATTTCTTTTTAGAGCCTCAGTTCTCAAGGTGGGAGGCCTGAGAACTTAATCTCCATCATTTTGAGGTACTGCTTTTCTTAGAGTTACACCTAAGTTTCTGGGAGCATCCTTGGGTGAAGGGAAGAATCGCACGCTATTCAGCATTCTATAATCTAACTCCCTCTGACTCCCAGCCTGGAGCATGGCACAGGGTGAGGGGTCCTGCTCATCAAACATGAGTCTGAACATTTTTTGTTCTTCCCCCTTTCCTCCTGTCTTGCTCAGAAGCTCTTTTTTTCCATATTTATTTATTTTCAGTTGTACTGGGTTTTCGCTCCTGTGTGGGCTTTTCTGTCGTTGGGGTGCGTGGGTGCTGCTGTCTAGTTGCAGCTTTCTCACTGCAGTGGCGTCTCTTGTTGCAAAGCGTGGGCTCTGGGACATGTGGGCTTCAGTAGTTGCAGTTCCTGGGTTCTAGAGCACAGGATCAGTAGTCGTGGCACACGGGCTTCGTTGCTCTGAGGCATGTGGGATCTTTTTGGAGCAGGGATTGAACCCAAGTCTCCTGCGTTAGCAGGTAGATTCTTTACCACTGAGCCACCAGGGAAGCCCTTGGAGCCTTTAGCCAGTGTTTGGTGTGAGAGGGAAGGGGGTTGGGGATTGGGAAATCTAGTTGGGACTAATCAAATGTTCTTTTTCCTTTTGGTTTTTTGAACTTTTTATTTTGTGTTGGGGTATAACTGATTAATAATAGTTATGATAGTTTCAGGTGGACAGCAAAGGGACTCAAGCATACATACACATGTATCCATTCTCCCCCAAACTCCCCTCCCATCCAGGCTGCCACATAACATTGAGCAGGGTTCCATGTGCTATACAATAGGTACTTGTTGGCAAATCACATGTTTTTACAAGTTTTCTGTCCTATACCAGCACTTACACTTTTGAAATGCAAAGGCCAAGGATTTGACCCTTTGCTAGAATCTGCTAGTTGTTCTACTAGCCATTCCAAGAAAACAGTGGATGCTTGGTTTTGTGCAGCCTATGACTAAGAAGGGTTTTTACATTTTTTAAATGGGTGAAAGAAAGTCCAAAGAAGACTATTTCAATGATGCATGGAAATGATAGAACATTCAGTGTGCATAAGTAAATTTTACTGGTATGCAACAATATCCATTTATTTACATATTGTCTATGGCTGCTTTCATGCTATAAATACAGAATTGAATAGCTGAGAAAGAGATCTTATGGCCTGAAAAACCTAAATTGTTTACTATTTGGCCCTTGAATAAAAAGTTTGCCAGTACCCTGATCTAGCTTCATCAGAGACTTGAGTCACCATTAATTCATTTACTTGAACTTATAGTCAAGATTTTCCTACTTTACTGTCACTTCTGTTGGCACCATTAAAGGCAAATAATCATACTAATAGTTGATGTGTCCAAATATTGTCTGTGTGAAGTAGACATTATAAATATCAATGTAAATACAAAAGTGCTTATGGAACAGCCCTGTCTTCCAGGAGCTCACAGTTAACAGATGAGGAAATGCACATGTAAACTGAGCAAATGCTCCTGAGATAAGATGCATAGGAGTGTGCAAGGATTGCCATTGAGAATTGTGAGCTCAAATTTTTATGCAAGTTAAGGTATCAGGAAGACAGCTGATGAAGATAACCGAAGTAGATATTCTCTCCATGGTGTCAGCCTTGCAGGTTCATCTGAAGGACTGGCTAATACCTTGTAATATATATGCAGCTTAGCTAAAAACAGTTGAAAATACCCTCAATGCACTGATTTTGATTTTCAGGTGGGCAACTTTGGCTTAACCACACCTGCTACATGGCTCTCCTAGAGGTTAAAATTAAGAGTAGCAGTAACAGCCAGCATTTACTGAACATTAACTATATTCCAAGTTGTGGGCTAGCTTCTCTCATCATTTGATCGTTCCCACAACCATATGGAGGAGGGCATGGCAATCCACTCCAGTATTCTTTCAGGAGAATCCCATGGAAAAAGGAGACTGGTGGGCTTTAGTCCATAGGGTTGCAAAGAGCTGGACATGACTAAAGTAACTCAGCATGCATGTTTGCATAGCATGCACAACCATATGAGGTGGGTGTTTATCTTATTCTTCTTTTAAGTGTGGCAATAATGAGACTCAGAGAAGCTAAGAAACTTGCTCAAGGTTGTACATCTAGAAAGTGTCATAACCAGGCTTTGAACTCTAGAGCCTATGCACTTAGCCACAGGCTTTCTGTGTAACTGCCCACCACTTTGAAGTAAAGCACTTCCTTCCAGCAATTACCTGGTGGAGGCAGAGCTGAGGTGGAAGGGCAAATCCATAGTCCTTTGTGTCTGCCTATTCTTCATGACTCTCATTTCCCGTCTCCTTACAGGGAGGTAACGATAACATTTCATGCATGATCCAGATGAAATTGATGGGTAACACGTGTGGAAAACAAAGCTTCATTCTGGCTGTTACCAACTGGACTTGGATCATCTCTGTGAGTAGTTACATTTGGAGGAATTATGGTAAAAAGGGTAGGATACATATTTTGGACTGAAACTGGTTCCTTCATTTTCCAAAAATTTTTGTGTCCAAAGTAATGTAGGGTCTGTGAGAGGTACTTAGTTACTATACTAACACTATAAGCTTGGAGAACCTGGCTTAAGCTCTTTCAAGCCCTTTGTCTTCATTTCTGTGATGGAGCTGATACTACCTATCACTAAAGATTGTGATAGAGATTAAATGAGGTAACAAATATTCTTTCAGCTCCTTCATCTGCCTGCTTCTGATAAAGAGAACATTTTGAGTTCAAATTTACCTCTAAGTTACCAAGTTTCGCAGTGGCAAATATAACACCACCAGGGGGAGCAGAGAACAAGAGTTTCAACCAAAAAACACTTGGTTTCTGAAAATCTATTAGGAGATACTGATACTATAACATCTTTCTATTTCTAAACATTCTTATAGCTTATTACTTCCTCCTACTTGTGCCAAATAAGGGAATTTCATATTCTTAATATCATCCTATGATCATGACACTACCTGTGCGTGTGTACTAAGTCACTTCAGTCATGTCCTACTCTTTGCGACCCTGTGGACTGGACTGTAGCCCGCCAGGCTCCTCTGTCCATGGGGATTCTCAGGCGAGAATACTGAAGAGGGTTGCCACGCCCTTCTCCAGGAGATCTGCCCGACCCGGGGATCGAACCCAGGCATCTTATTAGAGTAAAGCCTCATACACTCAAAGTCTAAGATTAGAGTTTCATTTGGGCTGTTTTCTAATTTACCTAAATTCTACATATGCAAAAGATTGGCTATGAGTTTTTTCATTTTGCTCATCCCAGGCTTTATGCTTGGAGTTGTTGTGAATGCAAATGCCATAATTATTTAGTCAAGGGGTCCAGCGGGATCTTTATTTGGTTATTTATTAAGTGATGCAGAACATGGACTTGCATCTAAGTGTAATCGAAACAACTAAAAGGTCACATTTCTCATTTAAATGAAGAAGGGTAAATAAACAAGTTGGCATTGGGGATTTAAAGAGTAGTTGTTAGAGTGTGTGGTAAAGTTAGTATAGTTTCACCCTCATTTTTTTGACACTGCCTAAACATACTGCTTTCTATAGCAAAGCAAAAGTTCATTCATGTTCAGAAGATGAAGGCTTTGGAGTCATGCTAATCATCAGAGAATAAATGTGTATCATTTCACTTAACTCCCTGAAAACTGACAAATTAATACATGATACATAACTCATAATTAAGCAAAGCCATAAACTCCATTCCCTAATTATTTTGACTAAACTGGCAGCTACAGTCCATGGGGTTGCAAAGAGTCTGCCACGGCTGAGCGCACACACACACACACACAAATGTCAGTTTATTGTACGTGAAAGTAATAAAATGGCATTTCTTTTCAAATACACCAAAATTGGTACTTTTTCCTCAGTCAGATTACTGTTCCCCTATAGTTCAAAATACTGAGTTTTTATTATAGTGTTCACAGGTGCTGCCATGTGATGCGATTTTTATTAATGAAACTTGCACCTGTGCTTCTCCTAAGACACTAACTTGCTAACTTACTGTTGGTGTTTAAGGATGGTTGATTTGCCTGGACATTCACTTTTTTTTTTACCTTATCCTCATTTAAAACTAATATAGTAATAAATCTTACATCTTGAATTTTGCATTTTTTTCATTTAAAAAGAGATACCCATAAATCTGAAGATCTTTTTGAGCAAATTTTATTTCCCTGAATGCCTGGTAAATTTCAGCATAGAACACTTACATTTATATTCATAATCACTGATATAAATTTCACCCTGAGACACTGAATTATAAGGAGCTAAATATATGAATCCCTCCTAGTTGGACATTTGTCTATTTACTAGTTTACAAAAGGCAAGGGGCCTTTTCAAGAAATTCACCTCTTTATTTGGAAGCATCATTATTAAAACTAGAGTAGGTTGAATATCACACTAACAGTCAGATAAAAACATGTAAAATAGATCATTATACATCCACTGTGGTCATTGACTTGGTTAGCTTTTCTTTTACTCACTTACATGTAAAAGGAAAGTAAATTTAGCTTACGTTCCAAGTTTCGTTTGTTGTAGCTTTGTATCTCATTTCACAGGAAACTTTTTCAATTGATGTTTGACTATTCCAGTGGATTACAGTCTTGGACACTGTAGTATTTATATCCACAGCCCTGGAAATAATGGATGCAGAAGGTATCACTAGAAAAAAACATAAACATAAATCCAGTAACTTAAAACTTGCCTAGGAAGAAATTGGTATTTTTTCATCAATATTTAGACATGTTAAAACTCAAAGTGCTAAACAAAAAAAACCTCATGATCTAATTAATAATTAATGAAATTTTTCTTGTTTTCTAATTTATTATGTAGGAGAAAACTGCTGTTATTAATTAAAATTCCATTCCACCCATTCTCCATTTCTTTTAAATGGAACTTTAACAGTCTTGTCTTTTCCCACCTCATTCTGCTTTATATTCCTAACTCATGAAATCTGAAGCCTGGCCTATTAACAGAAGAATATAAAAAAGAGGTAAAGAAGATATCTCTTCTTTCCTGTGTATGTTTAGGGAGAAATTATGTTTTACATCTAAAATTTAGTTCAGAGAATCTGATTCGGCAAAATGTTGAGTTGAGATCTTTCACAATCCTATTATTGCTCTCCTGTGTCATAGGGAAACTTGTACAAATATTTGCTCACTTGTTTTGTTAGCTATTAAAGTAAATCTGTCCTTGAAAGTATGACTTGAACAAAGTGTCTCACAAGACTCCAAGAATTTATAAATTATTGCTGTGTTGTGTGATTATGATTTTCAAAGAAAAAGAAAGTGAAGTTGCTCAGTCATGTCCAACTCTTTGCGACCCATGGACTGCAGCCTGCCATACTCCTCTGTCCATGGGTTTTCCAGGCAAGAGTACTGGAGTAGGTTACCATTTCCTTCTCCAGGGGATCTTCCTGACCCAGGGATCAAACCCAGGTCTCCTGCATTGCAGGCAGACGCTTTACCCTCTGAGCCACCAGGGAAGATCAAAAGGAAACTAAAATTTTCCTTTGATTTTCAAAAGGAAACTGAAATTCTGATTGTTGATCTTACTATTTTTCATACTAGGAGTCATGGTGTACCTGGAATCTCTGTATTTCTAACCTGCAAATTGTTGTAAATTTGTTCTGTCTGAATAGAATACAGTCATTGGCATTTCCCATTTCTCCTATGTGCATAATAGAACAAGGAGAACCTGTGACTTTGTTAGATATATTTATTTTGGGATTGGCTAAAAAGTTCGTTCAGGGTTTTCTGTATGATGGTACGAACTTTTTGGCCAATCCAATATTGATTTAACAGATTGGTGTGCTTTTAGGGGCCATTATTACAATTTAATATTCCCTATGAATTCATTTCCTTTTATTCTAAGTTATAAAGTATTCTTTGGGAAAATTATTGTTTTATTTTCAATGAATAATATTACATAGTTATGTGCACAGATACATTATTTATAGAAAAACAGAAAAATTAAAGATTTGCTTTCTAGAAACACTGGCCTAAAATAAAATCCTTGGGCTTAACCTAGCATGGTGATTTAGTCACTCAGTCATGTCTGACTCTTTGTGACCCCATGGACCATAGCCCATCAGGCTTCTCTATCCATGGAATTCTCCAGGCAAGAACACTGGAGTGGGTTGCCATTTCCTTCTCCATAACCTGGCATAGAATATAAATAATAGTAGTAGAATTAATCTAATTAAAGAGCTTACAGTGCTAAACTTTTATCATCTGAATTCCATAATTGATTTCCTTTTTCTATTTTAAGCTCCTTGTAATAAGAATCAGAATTCAGAGATTTCTAGAGTCAGGTAAGTGGATCTCTAGGGCTCTTAAACCATTTGCGAATACTTCAGCCCGCCTCAAGGCTATAAATTATGCCTCCACTCCTCTCCCATCTCTGAATGTAGCCTACTACAAATATAATAACGCAAGGATTGTGAGATCCTTTTCCAGAAAGGAATATTCTGGGGAGAAAGAAAAACTCTTCTTAGTCCTATGAGAAATGCAGATAGAACAGTAAGTGTGGTTAAGATAAAGGCTTAGCACAGAGCAGATCAATACAATAGAGATCTAAGGCTTCAGGTTTGCATGAGCTTATATTTTTCAAGTAATTATATAATATGTACTTGACCATTAGTTTGTTATACAAGACTCAAAATGTTGAATTTTTTCCCTCATTGCTTACGTTTCAAACATTTCCATCCGTTCTTACATTAAGCATTCCTTTCACATGTCATTTTGGCAGTGTTTCTACACTGTTAACTCAGTCCTGCCTTTCAACATATCTCCCTAATTTAATTAAAGCCCAATCCCATAGCTGTTGTGTGGAAATTACTCCCAGGAGAGTCCTCTGCTTCAGTTTCATAGAACAGTTAATTTATGTAATTTGCAGAGTCTCATTCTTAAAGTGCCATAAATCAATATAGCACATCCAGTAAGAATCTAAGGGCTCTGTTGGGAGGGGCCTCCTACATTGTCAACCTGTGTTTTTCAATCTGAGTTTCTTAGAATCCATTTTGGCAGACTGAGAAAGGAGGAGGAGGAGGTGCAGAAACTCCAAACAAGAGGCTCCCTGGTTTAGTGTGAAAAGATTTGAAGGTGACAGTCGGAGGAGATTTTGGAAGGCGGGGGTGATGGTTAACTACAGCAAGTCAGTAAGTCTGAGATGAAATCCGGCTCTCCTCACTCGCTATGTGCTTTGAGGAACTTATTTTATCTCTTTCTTCATCTAAAAAATGGGCATAATGGTATCATATATGATTATTTCCAGAATTAAGTGTAATATGCATGTTAATTGCCTGGAACACTATAGGTGTTTAGTAAATGGATACACTAAGATTGTAATAACAATGATAATAATACCAGTAATACTGCTAATATTAATCTAGTTCCTAATAATGAATACTGCCAAAATGATACTGAACATGATAACTCTTAACCATTATTAATCCATTGAGAGGAACCTGTTTTTAGGGCTTCCCAGGTAGCTCAGCGGGTAAAGAATCTATTTGCAATGCAGCTGATGCAAGAGATATGGGTTTGATTCCTGGGATGCCCTGGAGGAGGGCATGGCACCCCAGTATTCTAGCCTGGAGAATCTCCTGGATGGAGGAGCCTGGCAGGCTATAGTCCATAGGGTCACAAAGAGTCGGACACAACTGAAGCAACTGAGCTTGCACATACTATGTATCCTACCTCAAAATGGAAACTTACAAAAACGTGCAGGTCACGGTCCAGAGAGCTGTAACTCCAAGAATATACAATACAGTGGAGTTACTATTCATCTCCACAGTTAGCAGTGTTTGTGTTCAAAGCCAATATTCATAGCCTAAGGACAGCTTTTTAGACCAATCCTATTGCGATAGTTGAGACATTGAGATATTACTTCCAACAGAAGACCGCAGTAGTCCCCAAAGGATACTCATGCTGTATCCTGAGAGGTGTCACATCCCCTAAATCGTTAATCAGCAGGAAAGTTGTCACACACATTGCAATGTGCTTTTAAACAAAGACTGCGGATAGGAGTTAAGGTTCCTGGAACTAGAGGCTTCCTAGTTATGCAGCCTCAACTTGCCTTATGCCACCTCAGCGTGGTTTCCTCATGTATAAATTACATTATCTTCTACAAAATAGGGTTGTCATAAGGATTAAATAAGATAATGTATGTAAAAGCAGTTAGTGCTGAAGAAGTGTGCCATAAGTGTTTGCTACTGAAATTATCTTTAATAATAAAATCAGGGATAATTGGCTCTAGAATCTGCAACGAGAAGGTGATTCACACTTGGTGCTCTTTGGCTGAACTCTGGCTTTAGGATTAGAATGTGGATGTAAAGGGCTCAAGGGCAATTACTTTTTGGAATTTATCTTAAGGAGAAAAACAACTGCTATGTTAAAATTCAGCCTAAAGGTTGTCCGTGGCAGTATAGTTTATGATGGTGAAAAACTGAGAACAATAATAAGGGATAATTAAAGATTTTAATTAAAAGTAAGCTTGTAGATTGAATTGATAGAAATATTTATTCTATATTGTAATTTTTTAAAAAGGCAAGTTCTAAAATACCTGAAGCAAAAAATATTAACATTTTAATCTGACTGGTATACATAGAGATGTCTACATAATTCTCCACAATTTTCTGTTTTTTGTAGGACTTTTCAAACAAAAACATAACTTTAAAAATAGTGTATATAGCAGTATACTGTAATTCTCACAACATAAGATTCATCACACTTTATTATAATCTTTATTCATTTCCATCATCCCCAGTAGATTGCAAGCAAGTACCTTCCTTGTCTGTCTTATTCTCCCTAGCCCTTAGAACTATGCTTGAATGTAAGAAATTCTCAGTAAATATTGTGAAAAGACACACCCATGTAGAAATAAGACTGGAAGGATATATAAAACAAAGGCAGCCTCACTTATCTTTGACTTGTCTCAGGCAGCGGGTTATGGGTAATGCTTATTTTCTTTATCATGATTTTTTGGGACCTTTAGGGGAACTCCTTTCAGATCTCGACTTCATTTCATTAGGTCAGCACAAATTAGTTGTTTATTTGTAAAAACATTACAGAATTTTTTATTCTTTACCTATATCATCCAAATGAATTTGCAGTTGTTTCGACTTCTCCATGCCCAGTGCATTTGAAGCTTGGACCCAAACCAAATACTTCTTGCCCTTTTGCAGTGAATCAGTGGAGATGTTAATGTAACTTGAAGTGAGATATTCTTGCTCTTCTCCTGTCTCTAAACTTAAAAAAAAAAGAAAGATTATGATCACCAGTTACGTTGAATTAATTATTCCTCAATTTTTGATGCTGTCTTTTTAGCTTGATTGCAGAATGCACTTTCACTTTAAAATGAATCAAAATTTGTTTCAATTTTGAAAACATAATCAAGACCATCCAGGGTTACAGTGTGACTTTCATGGGCCCTAAGCACCTTTACCTTCATAAACCCCTTTTGCAAGTAAGATTTACAAGTTTGTATATGTGTAGGTATGTTTTTACATATATATATATACACAAAATGTTTATGTTTATATATATATTGTATATATATGTATATGCAAGCTACAGCCCATGGGGTCACAAAAAGTCATGACTGAGCAACTGAGCATGCATGAGCACTTTTATGTATATATATTCATATAGATAATGTTTTACAACTGTTGATATAAAAGTATATTAATGTCATACATTAAAACACTGTCTTTGACCTAATGGTTCATTTTTTTCTTGAGATTTCAAGTTAAACTAAACATTTTCATAGACTTCTGAAGGTATGGCAGGCCCTGGGTGTGCCTATTGTGCCTCTTTGGGGAAGTCAGTCCTGGACATGGTTTGAACTAAGTGAGCTCCCTCTTGGAAGGGGCATTGCATAGGAGTTCCATGCAAAGGCTTTGTAATAAGGAATGCTAACTTTTGTGTTAAATAAGTATTCAAATGTGAAAATAAGAGAATGGCAACTGTGTAAGTAGTAAGTAGGGCATCTTTGAATATTTTTCAGTTAGAGAAAACCACATACATGCTCTTAATTTGTTTGTGGCTAATTCTTTCATCACACATATTGAGACCACAAGTCAAAATGGAAATGTTTTCTCAGACCGACATTAACTATAGCTACTAGATAATTTAATTCTTCTTTTAAAGTCTACCCTCATATTAGCACCTAGACCACAAAGCACTATTTTAGATGAAAAATCCAATCAAAATGACTGACTAAACTTTAGGACAATTTTTGCATACAACTGTACAGTACAAAGTTTCAAAATGTCTTCTGTTTTTTTCCTGTGCTAATTAACATATATAACAAATTATTTGTTGAAGGGGAATTAGTATGATTTATATTTTTCTGAAATTTCCATTGCACCTAGTCCTAGTTGCAGTTAATAGATTTTCTGTAAACACTGCTGATTTATGGTGATAATGATAAATATTATCTTTTAAAATTTAATCATTCATTCAACAGTTATTTAACATTTAACACCCACTGTATTCTAAGCACTACTTTAGACACTGGAGCTACCATAATGAACAGAAAAGGTAAAGTCACAACCTTTGTAGAGCACACAAATACATATATAATATGTCTTGTGTTGATAAACATTCAGAAGGAAAAAGGAAGGGGGTTAGGAAATGCTAGGAGTAGGGGTGAGTGGGGATTTTTTTAGGGAGGAAGATAAGGGAAGACATGTCTGAGAATCTGAGAAGGTAGTGCTGGAGCAGTACAGAATCAAGAACTATGCCTTTCTGGAGGAAGCGCATTGTAGGTGATGTGCAAAGGTCCTGAGGCAGGTCCTTGTCTGTCCTGTTCAAGAACTGTAAGGAGGTCATTAACATTTGGTAGACTGAAGGAGATGGGAAGGGATGAGATGAGAGCAGAGAGTCCTAGATGAGAGGAGACTTATCAGGCACTGTAACATCACATAGGGCCATGGAAGGATCTCTGAGTGAAACGGGAGACTGAACAGAGGAGTAACATCTGATATGTGTGTGTGAAAAGGATTACTCTGACTATTTGTGAATAATAGGCTGTAGCAAGGCAAAGGTGGAGGCTAGAGCACTAACCCAGGTGAGTTTACTAACCCAGGTGAGAGATGACGTGGCTTGGACCAGACAGTGAAAAGATGTTAGTTTTTTAAAGATAGATGTGATAAGTTTTTCTGTCAGTTGAATGGGGGCATAGTAGAAAGAAATCCAGGAGGACGCCAGTGATTTTAACTTGAATATTGCAAAGGATGGAGTTGCCACTTACTGAGATAGGGCACATGAGCCTGAGGAGAGGGAACTTAGTATTTGGTTTTGAAAATATTAGCTTTTGGACATTAAGAGGAAGCATTGAGTATGAAGTTAGGTAAAATTTGGCTGCAGTTCAAGAGAGATATAGAGATATGGACTGGAGATACAGATTAGGGAGTTTTACACCATAAATTTGGTCAAGATCTTTTAGATAATGAATGTAGATGAATATAATAAGAGGTCCTAGGACAGAGGTCTGGATCATGATTCAGTTCACTTTAGTTGCTCAGTCATGTCCGACTATTTGCAACCCCATGAACCGCAGCACGCCAGGCCTCCCTGTCCATTACCAACTCATGGAGTCCACCCAAACCCATGTCCATCCAGTCGGTGATGCCATCCAACCACCTCATCCTCTGTCATCCCCTTCTCCTCCTGCCCCCAATCCCTCCCCGCATCATGGTCTTTTCAAATGAGTCAGCTCTTCGCATCAGGTGGCCAAAGTATTGGAGTTTCAGCTTCAACATCAGTCCTTCCAATGAACACCCAGGACTGATCTCCTTTAGGATGGACTGGTTGGATCTCCTTGCAGTCCAAGGGACTCTCAAGAGTCTTCTCCAACACCACAGTTCAAAAGCACCAATTTTTTGGCGCTCAGCTTTCTTCGCCGTCCAACTCTCACATCCATACATGACTACTGGAAAAACCATAGCCTTGACTAGACGGACCTTTGTTAGCAAAGTAATGTCTCTGCTTTTTTAATATGCTGTCTAGGTTGGTCATAACTTTCCTTCCAAGGAGTAAGCGTGTTTTAATTTCATGGCTGCAATCACCATCTGCAGTGATTTTAGAGCCCAGAAAAATAAAGTCAGCCACTGTTTCCACTGTTTCCCCATCTATTTGCCATGAAGTGATGGGACCGGATGCCATGATCTTAGTTTTCTGAATGTTGAGCTTTAAGCCAGCTTTTTCACTCTCCTCTCTCACTTTCAACAAGAGGCTTTTTAGTTCTTCTTCACTTTCTGCCATAAGGGTGGTGTCATCTGCATATCTGAGGGTATTGATATTACTTTACTAGAATAAAGGAGAATTGGCAAAAGAAACTGAGAAAAAGCATCCAGGAAGAACCAAAAGAGAGTGCTGTCCTGGAAGATGAAAGAAGGAAGTAAAAAGTTAAGTTAAATGTTCCTGATAATAAATCTACCCTTCCTGAAAAGGAAGGTAGGAACTGAGAATAAACTGTTGCATCTGGCAATGCGGATGTCATTAGCAACACTGATAAGACCTGGAGGTGGGGGGCAAAAGCTTGACAAGATTAAAGAGAGGATGAAGAGAGAGAAAGTAGAGGCGGAAAGTATGAACAGCTCTTTTTGAAGAGTTTGCCATATGAAGGAGCAGAAAGATTAATTAGTGGAAGTGGGGGGCGTAGGGAAGGTAGATGCTACAGCATTTTGAAAGCTGATGAGGAGATCCAATAAAGATAGAAAAGGTGATGATACAGAAAAAAGGAAGGAATATTGTTGGAGCAATGTCCTCTAGCAGGCAGACAGAGAAAGATCTAGTCTATAGTAGAGAGCTGGCCTCAGGTAGTGGTAGTTCATCCACAGTAATAGAAGGGAAGACCAAGTGTGGGTTCAGATGTCAGTGTGTTGGCAGATGAGAGAGGTTGTGGTATTTCTTATTACTCTTATTTTCTCAATGAAATAGGAAGTTAGTCATCAACAGAGAATGAGAAGGGGGAGAAGATGTTGGAAACCAAAGATGAAGCAGTAACAAGATAATGGCCTGGTCAGTGGGGGAGTGACTTGACCAGTGAAGTGCCACAGGACTCCTGGGTAACTATCTGGGCTCAGTTGAAGTGAGTGATCATGAATATAAAGTAATATCAGTCAGTAAGTTTGTACTTGTTCCCAGCCACCAGTGAGGAGATGGATTTTAGCATATGAACTGATTTTTAAGTCCTAAAAGAACTCAGTAGAAATATAACATCACAGCCTTAAATATATTTGGAATTATATCTAAGAATTCTGTCTGGCTATTATGAAGATGAATATAGTGAGAAACATGTGGCAAAAGCAAGCAGGTCTTATAAAGTAGAAGAGTAACAATTGATTTTAGGGGTCTTATTAAAACTAAAAGACCCTATTGGTCTAGCATGGTACCTGAAAATATACTATTGGTGTTTATTCTAAATAGTTTATGAACTTGTCATGCACAGAGATGTTGTCTATTTTTTAAAAGTTTTCTAGCATTTAACATAGTTCTGAAAAGACATGAAATTCTAAATAAATATTTGTTAAATTGACTTGAGTAAAATAGAATGAAGGGCCATCATGCACTCATTTTCATTCAAGTATTTACGGAGTACCATGCCAGATATTGCAAGTGCTTCCATGATAAAGAACATATTTACATGAAGCTGTTGAGGGTAACAGGACAACAGTAAGTAGATGCTTAATAGCAGAGGTGTTTTGTTTTTTTTTTTCTTATTGCCACCCATTGGTGCAATACTTAGCAAAATACAAAGGGGTTGAGAAGGTTATGTGAAAGGTCATGCTGGTGGGGTCACCACAGAAGTCCTGTGCAGAAAGAAGATTCTTGAAACAACACAGACACAATTCCCCTGCTTTACAACTTCAACCCCATACCATCTGGAGGCCCTGATGGACCCAGTGCTCCCATGGAGGGAATGCCATCTTTCTGCCACTGTAGGAACAAGTAGGTGGGCTGAGGTGAAATGCCTCTCTCTGTACATGATTTTACTGGCAAAGAGAACCACAGGAGTTGGAAGTGAAACTGCAAATGCTGATATCTACGCAACAGCCAAAGTAGAAAATACCCTGAGAACTCAGAACCCTGAGTTCTCAGGGTATTAAAAAGAAAAACCTTTTAAAATCTGATACTACCTCAACCAGAAAATTCATTATAAGTCACCTTTTTCCTAGGGGGGAAAGGTCTTAATCATTAGTTAGAAATGGATTTCTGTAATTTTTCTTAATCCATGGATGTAT